TCTGTGCTTGTGGTTTCTAACTTGCGGCTAAAATATGAACACTTTGAGTGAGTTATGTCCTTTAAAGTGGTTATAAACTGCTAATTCACCCTTTGCCTGTATATAACTATATGCGAGGAAACTAAAGACGTTCTCGCCTACTGTTTATTGGTACCTGACGTGCCGGAGTGCAGGCATCAGTTTGGTGGCCTTTAACATATTCCGTAGACCAAGAGGGGAACGCATTATGGGGGACAGACCATCTAAGTACGTGTAAGATCTTCGTACAAGTCTAAAATAAGTTTTTTTTCACGAATCGTCGTTTTCCCACCAAGATCCGAGAATGTAGGACAAAAATTCGCTAGGATAAATAATAATATATATTTTTTTTTTTAATAATTATTTTTATTTTTATTATTTACAGTTTATGAACACTTCTCTGACATGAAAAATATTACATTTATTATATTAAAAGATTGCAATACCTAACCTAACCCAATCTAATCTTACCTAACCTAAACTAACTTAACCTAATCTAACCTATTTTGCACTGTAAGTGGCTTATGTCTTACTTTGCACTTAAACTGAAAGGGTTTTGTCCAGCGGTATTTAATCCGTTTTTTTTCCTAGGAGGCCTTTGTCCGGATCCCATCCTTACCATTGCTACAACCTACTGTAGGCATATCCTCATACATTTCATGTTGTTAAATCTCAGCAGCCATGCCTTTGACCACTCCTAAAGTCGTTAGAGATCTTTATAGTCCTGAGTAGTAATAGCATCTAGCACATTTTTTATGAAACAATTGAACGTCATCGGTCCCAACACACTGCCCTTTGGAACATTACTTGCACGGATACACTCGTCCACTTCGTTCCATTAATCACCACACATTGTTTGTCGTCATAAAGAAATCCATAGCAAAGTCGCTTAAGTTAAACACGTAGGTTTCAAGCCTGATAATATATTCATGCAAAAAAGGAGGAAAAATTCCCAATTTGTTTATTTTTCATAAATTAAATTTGATAGACGCCGTAGTCATTGTTTGAGCAAGACCTGACATCACTACTGTAAACGATCAATTTGTTTGGATGATTTGACCTTTTATGCTTTCCATGCGCTAGAAATAAACGAAATTAATATACTGTATGTGCATTAATATCAACCAGGATATATATATATATATATATATATATATATATATATATATATATATATATATATATATATATATATATATATATATATATATATATATATATATATATATATATATATATATATATATAAATATATATATATATATATATATATATATATATATATATATATATAATATATATATCGTCAAGATAACAATTGGATCGATCGTGCGTCCCCTTAAGTGAGGCTGTATACGTGTGGGGTTCAGGATGTTTGGTTCACACTCAGGATGGGATGGAGAAAGGAAACTCACAATGTGCTCTCTGTATACATATTGTATTGGATGTACAATGCAGCTTGGTGCTGGGGGGTGGCAGCGTAAGTCCAAGCGTGATGTAGAGAGAGCTGGTTGGTGAGGGTGCTCAGAGGAGAACACAGCTTTTAGGGCGGCATAGTCGCCGGCGGGAGCAAGGGCCGCCAGGCAGGAGCGGAGGAGGTGTTGCTTGCTGGTGGCTGTAGGTAGAAAGAGAGAGGTCACCACGAGGTGAGGTCTTATATAGCGGAGGTAGGCGTGGCTTGATAGTTGACCTCAGTTATGTTAGGCAGCGCTGGTTGCCGACCTTGATCACGAGGCGCAGGCTGGGGAATTCGAGGGTCGGCTAGTCAGCAACAACGGCGGTTATAGGGGAGGAATCCACTACATACGTTCAACAGGTTTGTAGTCTTGCTGGATTCGATAAGAATTAATCGGGATCTCGACCGACGTCACGTCCAGTCAACGGAGGAGAGGTAACGGTTTCCGTAAATTTGTTCTTTAAACATATTATTTCTCATCTTTGGAAAGGTAGGTTATGTTCTAGTTTTATTGCTATACAGTAGTTAAGTGTAGTGCTCTTAATTTGTGGAAATTGTTCGTAGCTTGGGGGGAATTAATAAATGCAGAAACCTAACCTGAGATGTATCCTTATTGATTCAGGGAAGTGCCCTAGCCTGGGCCCGTTGTTGTTTCTTTCATAAATGACATGCCATTAAACATGCACTCTTCCACACAAATGTTTACGGGCGACGCTAAGTTATTCAGGGAAATTAAGATCCAAACGGACTGTGAAGTACTACAGGAATGGCTGTTAAGATTCAATGACATTAAATGCCAAAGGATGCAATTAGGTCGTACCAACAGTAAAAAAGAATACCACAAGTGAAAAGGACCCGAGTATGCATGTTGCAAAAATTTAAGTTCTTGGACCATTGTGAGAAGAGGGTAAATCAATTAAATAAGTTAGTAAGTCTTATACGAAGGGTTTTCACATACTTACAATAGATGATCTCTCTCTCACAACGCTCTTCAAAAGTGAGGCGCTTCCCCATTAATTAAGGCGGCGGCACACTGGGCACTTTCCTCCCAACATGTTTGGCAAACACGGACCGGCCAGCAAAACAAAGAGATGTTTGCGTCACACTGGGATGCTTAGGTGGCATATCTGCCCATAGCAACGAAAACAACAACAAAGCGTCTAGACGAGGTTCACCATGGACCCCGTTACTACAATTGAGGCCTTGCAGGATTGTGCTATAGTTCTTCAATTGCTGAAACAAGTAAGGCGCCTGTTAAAGCTAAAGAAAAGACAATGGATGCGTCGTGAAGTTTGTTTAAAAGTGGAGGCGGCTGGCTGGTCAAAGAAGACCCTGAATAATGATTTAATAAAACTAAAGATGTTTTAAAGTGACGAATAAATAGAAACATGTAACCGTTTTGAGTGTTATATTTTAAATTATTATTGTTTGGTGATTTATTTAAATTTTTACTTGAATTAAGTTGAATATTCAACACTTAATATGAACCTCATTTGAGCACTAATCCAGCCAGCAATGCTCACAGCCAAACAGTTGTCCATTTCTCGCAACAACCGAAATCCTGCTGCTTGCTGGGCCACCAGCGGCCAGCAAAACGGGCGACAAGTTTGGAGGAAAGTGCCCAGTATGCCGCCGCCTTTAGGAGTACTGCCATCCCGTCAGGTCCCCGAGACATACTAAAAACTGCCAGTTGATTGAAAATGTTCAAAAGAGGGCCTAAACTCCGACACCTCAGGTACGCCTGAGAATAAATTGTCTCTAGCTTATACTCCAGACGGGCAAGGGGTGACTTAATAGAAATCTATAAGCACCTCTAAGTACATTACTCAGCCGATGTCCGCCCCACAGACTCAGGTTGAAGAAGCCACAAGTTCAGAAAAATGTCAGGGCAAAGTTTTGTGGAGTGAGAGATGCAACTCTTGGAACAATCCGTCAGTGTCGTGAATGGATATAGAGGATGATGACAAGACCAACCCCAGGCATTGAGAACCTTGAGTACAGAGAGATTAAAACATCTAAATTTGCACTCCCTACAGAGACGTAGAGTGAGGGGCGATATGATCGAGGTGTATAAATCGAAGTCAGGGCTAAACAAAGGTGATGTAACAAAGGTACTAAAACTATCCAACCAGGAGCGAACTCGTAGCAATGGTTTTAAATTAGACAAATTTAGATTTAGGCGCGAGATAGCTAAATATTGGTTTGGAAATAGAGTAGTGGATGAGTGGAATAAGTTACCGAACTTCAACATTAATTCGAATATGCTAGATAACTTCAAATATACGTTGGACGGATATATGAGCGATAGGGGTTGGGTGTAAACGGGGCTGCCAAGTATGAGCCAATAGGCCCGCTATTGTTTCCTCCATTCTTATGTGACGGCACAGGTATATGTGAGTCTACCTAAAATAAAATTGGGAGGTTTATTTTTCTTTTTTTCTTTTATCCTCTTCACTGATCGGCTCGTTAGTTGCTTAGGAGGTTGATCACGTCTCTTGTTATGCACTGTTGGCTGGTACTGGGCATGCACTGGCTCCTGAATGTGTCTGAACCTGCTCCAGTACCGGTCAAGTCTGGTCTTGAAAGAGCTCCCACTCTGTGCCGTCACAACACTCACTGGCAGGGTTTTCCAAGAGTTCACAATTCTCACTCCGAAAAAGTTTGCATTCACAGTTTTCTGAACTTGTAGCATCTTCAACCTTGAGTTGAGACCCCTTGTGGGGCAGGCGCCCGCCAGCTTCAAGAACGGACACTCGACTGAGTATTGCCCTTTGAGATGTTTATACACCTCAATTAGGTACCCCCCCCCTTTCCTTGCTTGTCTGTAGTATTAGCTAGACAGTTGCAGGTGCTCTAATCTCTATGGATAACTAAGGTGCCGAAGTGCAAGCACCAGTCTGGTGATCCTCCCTTGGACATTTCCAATCAACTGACAGTCTCTAGCATATCTCGGGGACCAGACGGGGTGACAGTACTCTTAAGCGGGGAAGCACCTCACTCTTGAAGATAGTTACGAGGGATGGACCATCTAGATATCTGAACAACCTTCTTATAAGACCTACTAGTTTAGCTGCTTGATTCACCTCACAATGGCCCGAGAACTTCAGTTCATTGTCAACATAAGCACCCAAGTCCTTTTTGCATTCGATCTCTATTAATGCAGCTTCTTCATCCCATTGGGCCATTGAATCTTAGCAGCCATTTCTTCGACCACTCTTGAAGCTCACAGAGATCTTTCTGCAGCTTTTTGCAGTCTGTTTGGTTCGTAATTTCCCTAAATTACTTGGCATCATCTGCAAACATTTGTATGGAGGAGTGTATAGCTTCTGGCATGTCTTTTATGAAAGAAACAAACAACAATGGGCCCAATACACTGCCCTGTGGTATCCCGCTTGTAATCTCGGTTAAGGGTTAACTGATTTGAGAAATAGGCAATTTCCTTTGTCAATATTAAAGGTGAAGATATGACTAAAAAAATATGTTTTGTTTAAGTGATATTTTAGTAACGTGAGGTGTTGTGTTTCAGGCAGCAAGATGTGGGTACGTGATCACTATTATGGCAGTATACTGGATGACGGAGGCGCTGCCACTGGCTATTACAGCGCTCATCCCAGTGTTCGCCTTCCCTCTGCTAGGAATTCTTTCCACCGGATCTGTCTGCATTGTCTACATGAAGGAAACTAACATGATGTTCCTGGGTGGCCTAACAGTTGCTATCGCTGTCGAGCATTGTAACCTGCACAGGCGCATTGCTCTCGGAGTTATTCTCTTAGTTGGTAAGTAAAGACCCAGGGAATTTGATTGGTTGGGCAAGTTGTAGGGGAAGGGAGGAATTCAGGGTTACTAGTGTATATGAAACACTAAGTTTGGAAGTCAGTTATAGACAAAAGTCTGTTTTAAAGTACAGCAAGTGTATACTGTACAGTTTCAAATATATAGTACCAGGGGGTAGCAATAATCAGTCGCTGCACTCTTCTGCCAAGAACATGCATCATATCTTAATACAGTACAGTACTCTATAAACAATTAAAAAGAAGATAACAAAGTACTGTACTGTACAATAATTCCCCAAATATATATCTGACACACAAATTTTATATCCCAATTATTTTAGTCTATTGACAAGCTTCCATAAAATTTTCTGAATTATAAATTCAATAAGTTTTCTAAAATGAAGGAAACAATAATGTACACCAGACTAAGCAAACATCATGAAACAAAGAAATCTATACATTCTAATACTGTAGTTGGTAACCTTTCCTGCACTGTCAAAGTTGGAGAAGAGTTAAACTAAAATAGTATCAACTTAAATGTCAAAGTGTGTTTTTGTCAAGTGTGGACTTGGTACAGGTACAACTTTTTCTTGCAGGTCATTCCTGGAGTTCACAACTCTTACTCCAAAGTAGTTAGGTCTGAAAATTTTCTGTACTGATAGCTTCTTTAACTGGAGGCTGGGACCTTTAGTGGAACAGCCATCCGCTAACTACAGATAAATGTATGTACACTTGACTTGAGTAATGCCTTCTGAGTTGCTTATAAACTAATACTAAATTGCCCCTTGCCCTTCTATTGAAGAATGTTGAATCACTTTTGGTACATAAGGTGTGTGAGTGCCAGTTGGCAATCTTTAATCAAGTGTATCTCAGAGACCAAACAGAATAGCATCTGGCACATCATTTATGAAACAAATGAACATTGGATCAGGTGCAAAGCCTTGTGGGACTGATTGTCACTGGTATACCTGATGATTTTATGCCATTAATCACCATACAGGTACTGTATATTCTCGATGATCATTAAGAGTCTCCAATCCATGTAGGTGTTTCAAAAGTTCTGGATATACAGTAGTACACTGCATGCATTTTGGTAATTTTGTATTAAGAACTCCATCTCTTGAAGTAAAGTTCATTTTACCGACATGAATTTATATACAATTTAACACATACTGATTCACTCTTAATTACTATACAGTCTCTCCTCGACTTACGACGGGGTTCCGTCCCGACGACTAGGTCGTAAGTCGAAAAGGCGAAAATAATACATAGAAATTCTAAAATGGGTGTCTCTTTTTCTTCTCAGCACTGCGAGAACTCTCACATTTACACTTGCCAGCCAATTGAAAGGGAATTACAAACGAAAATTTTGTCAGTACACAGCGCGATCACTAACGTCGGGACTGCGATCACTAACGTCGGGACTCGAAAATACGTAATATGAAAAATATTTTATACGACCATGGCCGTTGTATGTCCAGGTTTTTGTAAGTCACTTACACGTGGACTGCTGCACCTCCCCATGTCTCCTCCTTAAAAACCTTTCAACTGATTTGTTGCTTTCCTTTGAACTAATACCTCATAATTGACAACTTCTGTTGTCACATGAGTTCCTTCATTTAACTGTACACAAATACTGAATAAATACCAACACTAGGTAGATGTTAGTATCAATTTAATATCAATCTTTCAGGTCAGTCTCCACGCAGATTAATGGCAGGATTCATGCTGACTACAATGTTTTTGTCTATGTGGATCTCCAACACAGCCACCACAGCCATGATGGTGCCCATAGTGGATGCCATTTTGACAGAGTTGTACTCGGTAAGAAAGGGATTGAGATCACTTGTTAGTTAATAGTATTCTTCATCAGAAATTACATCGAGCCTAACACATCAGGACACAAGAGCTACCTCTGTAAAAATCATAATTAGTCAGGTCCTTCACATCAATATTTATAGATGCATGTACTCAATATAAAACAGTGAGTGCCCACAGCAGGTAGTCTACCAGGGATCTCATTCCAGGATCGTACATTCAGTTATATATTACAGATTTACAGGAGTTGATCAGTTGACTACATTGTGATATATTATATGATCACATTCTATTGTATATGACTATGCTAAATTTTATATTAAATGGGCACACTGAACTAGGCCCATCTCCAGTACAGTATTATCCTTATAAACATAATCCACATAAAGTTATCCAACTGACCAGGCTATATCTGTTATTCTTTACGGCCACCAAATCCTGGATATTGTACTAGTGGCCTCACTATTCATCACTACTGTATTGTCCTAACATCCACAGACCCATGATGGAGGGGAGACTGGCACAGATGGTATGGACCTGAGTGTATATCCTCCTCACCAGAGTCAGTTGGAGCTGGTCAACAATAGTGAACCGGTCTCCAGGTAAATTTACAAACTTTTAATTCATCTTTTAAATTAATAGCTGCTTAATTTAATATATAATTCATGCATAAATTAATGGTTTAAAAATCATACCAAAATGCACAACAATATACAGTACTGTACAGTGTTATAAATTGCCTGTAGTACTGTAGGTCTCGAGTAAATTATTATTAAAATTTGTTCAATTGTGTAAAGTTCATGTTATCCTAGAACAAGGGATGGGTGAAAAGTATTGGTTTATTTGAGGAATGGTTTTTTTTGGGGGTGCTTTGTTACTTCATGGATCTACAGTACATAAAGGTTATACGAGAGATCCGTTTTGCTGTTGTATGAATTTCTCTACTGTTTTTTTTCAAATCAGCAGACTGTGAACAGTTGTAGTTGCACACCTATAGGAGCGTGTTAATGTACCAGATTTAATATGGTAATTAGTAAGAAAGTTATTGTGAGATTTTTCCAGTTACTAAGTACTGTACAGGCAGAGAAGGTAGGTTTTACTAACTGTTGCAGGAAATGTTTTTTTGGTCTTCCAGAAGTAATAGGTCCCCAAGTTTGTCAATAATAAACTAACTGCAGCAACACTTCTCAGCGTACATCCTGGCAGCGAGTGCAAGAATGGAAAACTGGAAAAAGTGATTGAGGATACAAAGGTTGATCAGGAGGATAAGAAGCCTGAAGGCCACACAGGCTTGACCCCCATACCTCCCAACGAGGAGTGCCGTGCCCTCAGGGACATGTGCTTCTTGGCCACTGCTTACTCGGCCAACCTGGGAGGCACTGGTTCACTCACAGGCACTGGGCCCAATCTGGTGGTGAAGGGCGTTCTTGCCAGGTTACTAAATTTTGTTTATGCATGAAAGCAAAAAGCTTAATAACTCCTACTGTAAGCAGTGAGGGAGAACTGGATAATTCTTATCACTTTATCATAACTTTTAAAGCCACTTTGGTGTATTAAGAGTCATCATATGACTTAAAAGTATTATTAACTGGAGATCTTCTCACTGAAGGCTGCCTGCAAACTAACCTTACACTACTGCAGTTGTTCTGCTTTAGGAAATGGTTTCTCTTACTAATACACTGTATACTTCATAAAGGTTTAGCATGTATAAATTTCCTTCCTCTATCCTTGGCTTACTATGTACTAATGCCAATATAGTATAGTGATGATATGGGCCATATGTGAAAAACATATGATTTCCTTTTATTGCATGTTCACAGGATACTCTGTGGGTGATCACTTAAGGATGTCTAGCCCCCAAAATGGTCCAACAATAGGTCCTTATAATATTTATTTTTATTTTTAAAGTCCTTGGTATAAAGATAGGGGTTTTAAGACACAGGTTTTGGGTATCAGGTCCTGTTAACTATTGATAAGAGGACATACTACTGTACATATGGAAATGTAAAAATAGGTCTACAAATATTATATGGCACTGGAGATATGAGTTTGGAAATACAGTACAGCATCTCAGTCAAAGGGTGTAGTTAGAAATAAAGAGTAAATTAGCTGCCAATTATGAAGTGTAATCCCACATCCTAGGCCAACTTTTCTGCTTATACAGTACAGTACTGATAATAATGGCAACTTTGAGGATAACAAGTCTGTCTGACTCTGGGATCAGCAGGTTCTGTGCAGATTCTGTGGCACCTCACCTGAAATTTCTTGAATCTTATCTTAACCAAATTTAATATGTTTACTTTTCTACTTTTATCCTCTTCGCCACTAATTGGCTCTTTAGTCTCTTGAGCGGGAGGTCAATCTTACTTTTTACTTTTTATCCTCTTCGCCACTGAACGGCTCATTAGCCGCTTGGGTGGTTGGTCACGTCTTTTACACACTGTTGGCAAGTACTGGGCATGCACTGGCTCCTGAATGTATCTTAACCTGCTCTAGTGTTAGTCAAGTCTCTGGTCTTGAAAGAGCTCGCACTCGGTGCCTTCACAATACAGTACTCTCTGGCAGATTGCTCAAGAGTTCACAATTCTCACTTTGAAAAACTTTACCCTCAAAGTTTTCTGGACTTGTGGCTTCTTCAACCTTGTGGGGTGGGCATCCATTAGCTCCAGGTATGGATACTCAACTGAGTAATGCCCATCTGTATTATAAGCTAAGCAGTTGCAGGCGTTCTGAAGTGCCGTATTGCAGGCACCAGTCTGGTGGCCCTCCTTTTGACATTTTCAATCAACTGACAGTCTCTCGCATATCTTGGGGACCAGATGGGGTGACAGTACTTCAAACAGGGAAGATCGTTACGAGGGAACGGACTGTCTAGATATCTGAACGACCTTCTTTTAAGACCTACTAGTTTAATTGGTTGATCCACCTTCTTCTCACAATGGCCCGATAACTTCTGTTCATTGTCAACATACACACCCAGGTCCTTTTCACATTTGGTGCCTATTTATGCAGTTTTTTTCGTCCTGTTGGCAAGTACTGAGCATGCTGGACATGCACTGGAATCAATGAATGGGAAGACTGAGAGAGCAGACTACAACCTTAATGACCAAGATACAGGATTGGACAGAGATCGTAAGAAGGATCCTGTGGTCAGGAATACACGGGTAATGCTTTTAATGTCAGTGATGTATGCTGCTAATATTGGAGGCACAGGAGTACTAACAGGATCTGGAACCAACTTGGTACTCAAGGGATTTTTGCAGAGGTAAGAGTGTTATTTGTTAGATGATATAAAGTACTGCATACTGTATGTTTAATTTACCATCCTTATAAGTTTAGAAACCCAAGCATATTCATGTCAAAGACCAGTTTTTAGTTTTCCATTGTACACACACGTCACATTAGCTACATACTGTAGGAATAATCATTCAATTAAGCCTTAAAATGCAAATACTGTACTGTAATGTTTTTGCCATGTATGGGAAAATATTTTCCTTCTCATTTAAGACATCAATTGCTATCTTAATACACTGTAACCAGATTATACCTACTTGTATAGGTTAGGTAAGATTGGGCTACATTAGGTTAGCAATGATGCTTTTCATTTATAATTACAGTAGAACCATTTTATGGTTATCTTCATGTTTACAAGCTAGTTTGACCTGGGGGGGGGGGGACAATTTATCCATTTCACAATTATACTTTTTTAGCATCTCTCACACACTACAAAAGTTCAGAATTTACAAAAAGATAAAATGGGTATTTTTTTATACATGTCATCAAACTCAGGCACTGATAATTGCCCATAAATCCTATAAAAAGGCAGGACAAAAGATAAAGATCTTATAATAAAATGCATGAATTATGGCATTTTTCAAAATGCTTCCTTTAAATCTGCTTTACCAGCCTTTGCATGCTTACCAATGCATGTTGCTTATTTTATCTAAGCTTGTATGGAAATGCACTTAGTGGAGAGGGATAATTTATTAGTACAGTATTTGTGGTGAGAATGCTGCCAAGCATGGTTAGGTTGTTGTGAAAATGGTGACAAGGGCAGAGTGGTGGAATACTGACAGGGTGATGTGTTCTTTCATATGCATGTGTGATGGGTTGTATGTGAATTGTTTACATATCAAGGTTGAGTGGGTGCCAGTGTGTGTGTGTGAACATTGTAATTTATTTGTTTGTACGATCTTACTTGAAATTATGATTAACTTGACCCTTTACAATACCCCATAACTGTCTTCTTCACATATATTATTATAATTTGTACATAGAGTACAGTATATGGAGGTCTAACAGTGTCCCATTAGTAAATGTAATTGTGGTAATATTGTTTCTTCCTGTAAGTTTTGTACTTGATGTAGTTACTGTAGTTATCATGTACGTTTACTTAATAATAATAACAAATATTTTATCATCCATATTAATATTTTACAAAGTTATAGCACAAAGATTATAGTTAAACAGATACTTCCCCTCTGTCCCATTACCCCAAAGTTGTGAGAGATGCTAACTGATGAACCTCCTCCAATAGTTCCTACAGCGAGCCCACTGGCCTCAACTTTCTGTCGTGGATGGTGTTCAACATTCCCGGGATGTTGATCTGTGTTTTTATTGCCTGGATATGGCTACAGATCTACTTCTCAGGAGCATTATGGTGAGTCAACTTACAGATGGAGGTTAATGTAAAACCCTATTTACCTATTTTAATTTATAACATGATAGTGACCTTTCCCACATACTGTACTGCCTCCCTGTTCTCTCACTTGTTTGAAAATTTGATCTCTCTAAATTTATGCATCTTCAAGCAATATTTCAGTTGAACACATCTATGAGGACAGAAGAGCCTCGCCTCACCTCACCTCACTGGTAACCCAAAACACCCCAGAGTTTGTCACAATTCACCAGTCCTACTCCTCTAAACACACATAGAGTCATATACTGATACTGTGCCAACTGTTATATTCAGGAGCACTGATTCAGCAAGTGTATAGACCACTGGTTACTCCAGGATGATATAAGGAAATAAACTGAGGTGTGCAGTACAGTACAGTACATGGTTGTGATTGAATATTTTAAGTACCTGTATTATCATTAGTGTGTCTTATTCAGTACTGTACAGTACACTGTATTCATGTTTCATAATCAAACCATTTTAATTTGTACTTTATAGTTTACATGTGGAAGTAAAGTACAGTAAGTGCTCAATACATTCCAGAAAACCCTCACATAAACCGAAATTGCATTTATCAAATACTGTACATGGTTAAATGGGAAAAAATAGAATGTATTCCATAACCCAAAATGAAAATGTTCCAGACCTATTTTCAGCACAATTTTAAGATAAATAAACCATAAAACAAATCATTATAATATTATTATTTTTAAATAACAGATAAAGCAGGGGTACAGTACAGTGTACTTGCCAATAAAAGCAGATACTGTACAGTACTGTACATTAGTTGGGTAGATGAGATGGTGGTGGAGGATTTACATAGTAGGTGATGGTGTTGGAGTGACATCTGCAGGGTCATCGGGGTTGGAATCCATATCAGGTAGTGTGACATTTTGTCTGTATTCTTAATATTTCAAATCATGGACTCGCATAAGGGTGAACTTTGCTCGCATTAATTGAATTCCTGGTAGGAATAGGGTCTTTATGTATGGTGAACTCACATATATAGAGCATTTACTATATGCTCCATATTTTACAATTCAACATTAATGCTGGTAATCATTTCCCATTTTAGAAAAAAGCAAATTTAATATTCTCCCCCATTGTAGTAATAAATTTCTTCCTCAGTTGTCGAAAGACGAAAGTGATCCAAGAACCAACTAATGATCGGAAGGCTGCAGTGAAGAAGCTTGTGTTGTCAAAATACCGTGAACTTGGTCCCATGGCCTTCCAAGAGGTTGTGGTCTTGACACTCTTTATCATTCTAGTATTACTCTGGCTCTTCAGAGCTCCAGAGTTTATCCCTGGATGGTCAGATTTGTTTACGGATGCTTTTGGGGTGTAAGTTGACAAAATTTTATGTTTTTGGTAACAGAAATGGTAAAATTTAGTAATTTCTTTTGGGGATTTATAACCAAAGACAAGTACTGTATAGCCCATGATACACACACATCATTTCAACATGACAGAGGCCATTTGTGCCATACTCCCAAAGTACAATGAGAAAGTAACTATCATTCCACCAAACCCCAGTCCATCAATTATCAAGAGAAAAAGGTCTCGGAATTACATGGGTATTGCTGTTCCAAGGCCAAAGAGATTGGAAGGCTTTTAGCCCATTGTGTATGAGGTTCCCTCGAGCTAAATTAAATTCTCTGGGAATCAGTGGTTAGAAAGTTAGCTCACTGTAGCATTGTCACTGGGCTCCTGTTGTCATATTGAGACAATGTATCATAGATTACCATAACTTCAAACAGTGTAGTAGATCATAACACCCGATTTTGAATGGCCCAGCATACTGATAACTCATCAAAGTACCTGTTGATTCTGTTGACAAAGGTCATATTTCAGCTTAAGACTTATTCTAAATTCTCACAATTACTTTTCATAATGTATCTGCAAATCTATTAAATACTGTATACAGTAATGTCAAAGACTACATTGTGTGCATGAAGAATTGTGCTAATTATTTTAAGAAATTCACTAATGAAACATGTGCACTGTTGCACAATAGGGTTACACCATATAAGAAAGGTAAAAAGAAGTGAAGGAATCCCAATGAGTGCGATACAGAGCTTGGTGGCTTCATCCATTAGTCAAGATTTTTAGTGTTTCCTTGTCTCAACACATTTTTCTGCAATTGGGCAAAATCTATGGTGTTTTCATGTATTATTGCAGGAAAGTTGATGATGCAACACCAGCAATCCTAATAGTCTTTCTGCTGTTTGCTCTGCCAGCAAAGCTTAACTTCTGGTGCTTCAGGCAGCCTAATGGTTAGTAACATATGTGCTGTACTTCAAATTACATGTACAGTGACCCCTCGTTTAACGAACACCTCGGTTAACGTAATTTCGATTAACGAACTGCCTTCCATAAGGATCTTCAATTCGGTTAACGAAAAAAAATTCGGTTAACGAAGTTCTTACGAACCGACCTCAACATGTTTTCGCTTGCACTGACCGGGCAACCAGCTTTAGTATCAGTCCGCCAATACATTAATCGGTTCTAGGGCTTAAATTCCTTACTATTTTAGTAAATATCAAGAAGTTTATACTATTCAATAATTTTAAAAGTTTAATATTCAATTTTTTAGTCATTTTAACAATTATTGAACATAATTGAAGGTAAAGTGACTAGTTTAATGCGCGGCATCCAGCCTCTTAACACAGCAAACAGGAGTTAGTCTCTCTCTGTTTTCACTGGAGGTAACATCTTGCTTGAGACTCTCTTCAACTAAACGCTTTTTTTCTGTGTTTCCAAGCAAATTATTGGTCACTTTTGAAATATATTTTACATATTGACAATATATAATGCAGTGCCGTGTTGATATAAAGAAAATAATCTTGAAATACACCAAGAGAACTAAAATTTTATGGATGAAATGGTGCCATGGGGTGACTTCTCTTCCACCCCAATGCCTTTTCTTCTTCCTTCTCCTCCACCCCCATTCTAATTCCCATCATCATCATCATCATCCAGGAGCCTTCTACATACACACCTCAAAGTAAGTGAACTTTTCTACCATTTTTGTTGAATTTAGGAAATTTTCGGTGAGCTGGAACCAATTACCCAAAAACCCATTGAAACAATGGTTTCGGTTAACGAACTTTTCGGTTAACGAACGACCTTCTGGAACGGATTGAGTTTGTTAATGGAGGGGTCACTGTACTAATTTTAATCAAATTTTACTTTGGTTCAACAACTTTCGAATATGCTCATATATATATTTTTTTTCACTTATTCATTTTCCCTCGGCTCTTGGCTTTAAGAATTCTGATTTGTAACTTACACTAGGATTGCACAGCTCTTTATAGCCAACAAGCCTAGAGGTTATGACCCCAGACCCCAAATTGTAACTTGGGGTCCAAAGAGTGAATACAGTGTAGTGTATACAGTAGCAGTATCTGATAAATAGATCATCCTTCATTTTGATGCTGGGGTCCTGAAGATTGTACAATTCGTAAGAAGGTACCCTAAAACGGGAAAAGTTTAAGAAAAATATGCTGTGAGCGCAATATGAAATGCAGTATTGTTCTGTAATCCATTCCTTTAGTGACATTGTTTACAAAAGTGGTCAATCAACCCAGATCTCTACATGACCGCAAGCAGTGTGTGGTGATTAATGGCATGAAATTATCATGTGTAACCGTCACAAGCGGGGTACCACAGGGCAGTGGATTGGGCCTGCTGTTGTTTGTTTGCTTCATAAATGACATGCCTGACGCTGTACATTCCTCCACACAAATGTTTGCGGATGACGCCAAGTTATTTCGGGAAATTAAGAACCAAGCAGACTGTGCGGAGCTGCAGAAAGGTCTCTGTGAGCTCCAAGAATGGTCGAAGAAATGGCTGCTAAGATTCAATGTCACGAAGTGTAAGAGGATGCACCTGGGATGTACCAACGGTAAGGAGGCGTATCATATGTCCCAACAGGAAGAAAAAATTGCATTAATTGAGACTGAGTGTGAAAAGGACCTAGGTGTGTATGTTGACAATGAGCTGAAGTTTTTGGGCCATTGCGAGAAGAAGGTAAATCAGGCGACTAAATTATTAGGTCTTATAAGAAGGTCGTTAAGATATCTAGAGTTCTAGATGGTCCATCCCTCGTAATAATCTTTAAGAGTTAAGTGCTTCCCTATTTGGTGTACTGCCACTCCGTCTGGTCCCCGAGATATGCTAAGGACTGTCAGTTGATTGAAAATGTTCAAAGGAGGGCCACCAGATTGGTGCCTGCACTACGACACCTCAGCTACCCTGAGAGATTGGAGCACCTGAACTTGCCTAGCTTATACTACAGACGGGCAAGGGGTGACCTAATTGAGGTGTATAAGCATCGCAAAGGGCACTACTCAGTCAAGTGTTCTTACCTGGAGCTGGCGGACGCTCGCCCCACAAGGGTTCACAGCTCAAGGTTGAAGAAGCTGCAAGCCCAAAAAACTGTGAGGGGTAACTTTTACAGAGTGAGAGTTGTGAACTCTTGGAACAATCTGCCAGAGAGTGTAGTGACGGCACAGAGTGTGAGCTCTTTCAAAACCAGACTTGATAAGCACTGGAGCAGGTTCAGATACATTCAGGAGCCAGTGCATGCCCAGTACTTGTCAACAGTGCGTAACAGTGACGTGATCGATCGCTCAAGCGCCTAACGAGCAGATCAGTGGTGAAGAGGATAAAAGTAAAAGTAAAACAGGGAAATTCTACTAATACTCTGACCTTGTGGACAACTAAGAATACTGTTCACATTAACAGTATCTCAACAGTATTATATTGTTGAGAAACATTTGGGATACAAGAAGAAACTTGCCTGTCTCACAACAGTACAGTGCCGTAGACACAATGTTGTCCAATAGTTCAGAAACAGTACAGGTACATGTATCCATTTTTTTTAATTGGATCTTCTGAAAAGTTGTATCAGATTTTTATGCTGCATTTTCCTCTTTGGGATTATCTTAAGTGCATACTGTATAATATACTGTACTCTCAGGGTTTATTACATATTTTCATAGACAGTATAAAGCATAAAGGAACCTTTCAGAGGATTTGAAAGCCAGTTAAATATAAGTAGGTCATTTAGTGAGAGCAGTTTTAGATAATCTTTACAGTAATTTGTTGTTGGCATCATCAGCACAATTAACTGTGGTTCACCATGAATCTGTCATCTCCCCACAGATCCAGAGCCAGACCGTTCAGATAATAATTCCTGCCTGACGTGGAAGGTAGTACAGGAGAAGATCCCTTGGGGTGTGGTGCTGCTTCTAGGTGGTGGCTTTGCCATGGCTGAAGGTGCCAAGGAGTCTGGTCTGTCACAGGTGCTGGGGGACTCATTAAAAGGTTTAGAAAATTTTAACAGTGTAACCATCGTGTTGATGACGACTTTTGCAACTGCCATGCTAACAGAAGTAGCCTCTAACACTGCCACAGCTTCTATACTGCTACCAGTCCTGAATGAGGTGGTAAGTGACCAGTTCTTAAGTCTCTCCTTCTCCACTTGTAGTGTTTCCTTGTTTTTTCTTGTCTTTGTATCCAATGCATTTTGTAAATACTGTAGACATATTGAAATTAGTTTGATGAAATAAATTCAGACAAAGGAATGGTTTCCCAGCTGGAGATTTAGAGCCAGTCAATTAGATCCAGAATGTCGATCCAAAATCTCTTACAGTTCCTTTCAAGACATCGAAGAAATATTTTGTGCAATCAGTAACTGGTGATTATAAAGGCCAGGAAAAATGTATCAGTAAGATATTTTGAGTTAATTAACATCCAAATTTGTTCCAAGGTCAACATGACCTACTCTGAAGGCATTATTCTGTGTTAGTGTGTGGCACAGCAGTCAAGAAATTACTCAAGCTCTGAAAAAAAAATCCAGAGCAAGAGAAGATAACTGAACTCTTGTATAAGTTTCTCAGTGACAGGGGAATATACTAAGATGAGGCCAGATCCACCAGAGGAAGAGAACATTTCAGAAGCTGACAGGAAAATAAGGATAAAAAAAATGCCACCACAAGACCTTTCCTTATTACAAAAAGATATAACTGGGAACTATGTTTTTTATTCACCAAAGAAACATTTCCTTGGCTAACAGATTCTGTACCTGAATTTCTAAAGCAAGAACTTGTCTAAGCAGATAACACTAAAGATCTCGTGACAGATCTAATACTGTATTACAATACAGTCAACCCTCACTTTACGCGGTCCCACATTCCGCGTTTCCACGGTGCCCTGCCAGAACCCAGGATGCTCACATTCCGCGGTGGGTGTACCCCTTTACACGGGTGAAGTATAATTTTTTTATTTAGCTCATAAAATTCATACAAATTATCCGGCCAGAATATAATTTACATTGCTGGAATTCTTACAATTTGATGATCATTTTGAATATAAACATCATAGATTTTGCATTAGACATACAAATTTTAGATATACCAGGTAATGTTTACTCTGAGTAAATATGTTATCTTTTGTGCAAAATATATGACATTTGTATTCAAAATATTCCTGGTCTTACAAGGAATCCAGCAATGTCAATTATATTATCCTAACTTTAGTTTGAGGTATTATTTATTACTATACCTGGTTTTCCCCCCAAAATTTCTCAGAGAGGGAAGAGCCAGCGAGTGTAGTGTGAGAAGAGGGGGAGGGAGTTGAGTCCATTATTTGAATGGACATTAACTTGGCGACTGTATTTCTCTATTTCTCTTAAGTATTAATTGTGTGCATGTACCATCATAAAATTAAGATGTTATTTTTACTAGAACATAGGTATTGTGTTGGAAAAAGTGGAGTTTGGGGGTCAGCTGGTCTCTATTTCATTTAATTCCATATGTTATGTTATTCACTTTACGCTTTTCTCACTTTCAGCGGTACCCTGTGGGTTACATTAACCTCGTAAAGTGAGGGTTGACTGTACAGTACTCCCAATAATCGTGTAAGGATCCTCAGGGTTACTTCCAGTCTAAAAGAGCCTGAACAAGACAATTGTCATTCAGATAAAATAACAAATTCATCTCAAAGCTCCTAAATAGCCAACAGTTGGCCCATCACACATGTCTACAGTACTCATTTACACAAAACAACTTGTCCTCAGTAAAAAATGTGGCTTCTCTTGTCCTCTGAAAAATTGTCAGGACAAAGTTTTTTGGAGTGCGAGTTGTGAACTCTTGAAACTTTCTGCCAGAGAGCATTGTGATGGCACTGAGTGTGAGCTCATTCAAGACCAGACTTGACCAATACTGGTGCAGGTACAGATACATTCTGTAGCCAATACAGTACTTGCCAACAGTGTGTTACAGAGATGTGACCGACTGCCCAAATGGCTAACATGCCAATCAGTGGCAAAGAGGATAAAGTACCAGTAAAGTAAAAGCCGAGATACACTGCCACATGCCACATGCTTTAATGGAAATTTTTGGTGTACACAATGATAAGTAAATATTAAACATAATAAGCGAAATACATGCGGTACAGTACAGTTATAATTTTATATCTGTATGTACGAGAAACTGGACAAGACCAGAAACAAAGTAAACAGTACAAAATCTTTAGCCAACTTCTGAAATAATTATGTTAACCTAGTAATGCATCGTACCTCATTATATAATTGGATATACTTTCTCCATTAAAAAATATATAAAGTATATCCCACGCTCAACCCCTGAAGTGTTAATGCATCATCCTATGCTTTGATTAAGTAGCACAAATGATGCAGTCAGAGAGCTATGAAAATGCTGGTTCAAGCAAAAGGTCAGGTCAGGCAAATTTGTTTTCCTAATTTTGGGGTTTTCATTTTTAAACAAAATCATAAAAAAAAAATGTACCTATTAATTTTCATAACTGCCGCTTCATTAATCAGGGAATGCCCAAAATTGATTGTCTGTGTTCCTCTATTAATTTTGAACTTGAAGGTAATAGCTGTAGTTACATGTACAAAAAATGATTGTATACAGTACAGTGAACCCTCACTTTACGCGGTTAATTCAACCCACGGCGGCCCGCGTAAAGTGAACAACATAACATATGGGATTAATTGAAATAGAGACCGAGCCGACCCCCAAACTCCACTTTTTCAGACACAATACCTACGTTGTAGTAAAAATAACTTCTTAATTTTATGATGGTATGCACACACAATTAATAATTAAGAGAAATATCAATAATATTAGGTTTTTTAACACTTACATTAGTAGAAAAGATGGCTGGGCACACGGGGATGGGGGGGGGGTTGGTTCCGAGGCAGAGGGCAGATTATTGGCCCTCACCTGTATCAATTGTATCACTATCCACCACAGAGGCTTGCAGGGCCTCTTTGTCAAACCCCTCAAAGTCCATATCCTCACTATAATTATCACTATCATTGACTTGGGCCGGCTGTGGTGGGTGGCGGATGAAGAACTCGGTAATGTTTTGATGACTGGGCGACCTTGTGCGCACCCTGCTCGCGCCGCTCTCCGCGTAAAGGGGTACACACACCACGGAATGTGAGCATTCCAGTTTCGGCAGGGTACTGCGTAAACGTGGAAACGCGGAATGTGGGACCTCGTAAAGCGAGGGTTGACTGTATTTAAGTCTTACAAAAATGTAGACCACCAGGATCAGGAACATTTATGAAGATAGTGCAACATATCGCTACCATTCTAACCTTTTAATTTATAAAAATCTGTAGTGTATTGTTAGTAGGCTATTTTGAGTATACTGTTGGTATAATTTACAGGCATTGAACATCAATGTGAACCCTCTGTACCTGATGCTGCCAGCTGCTATTTGCTGCTCCTATGCTTTCATGCTACCAGTTGCCACACCTCCTAATGCCATAGTCTTTGGGGCTGCAGGCATGCGTTCCATTGAAATGGTAAGTACAGTTGCTCCTCTGAGTTTTATAACTACAGTATTAGTACAGCAATCAGTGAATATGAACCATTTGTCTGTAAATTATACTGCATTTGATATTTTAAAATAAACTTTGTTTTTAGTGCAACACAGAACACTTTTACTTGAAGACTAAATAGTTTAATCTTCTCCAGATACTTGCAGGAGGCATGATGAACATTCTCTGTGTCGTCGTCATCAACATTATGATCAACACTTACGGGGTCTACCTGTTTGATCTCAACACAATGCCTGCCTGGATCAATTCAACAACGATTCCATAACAACACAATATGACAAGATGTGACCAAATTACTGTAATGATGTGATATTATATTCTTATTATTAGATTGTGAAAAAGTCACATTGGAATATACTTGTTATAAAACCTCATTAAAATATACCTAAGATGATAATTTTTGTTATGTCCATAAAATATGTACAAATTTTTTTACCTTCATGTCAAGTTTTAACACTTGGAAATACAGGTACAGTATCTTTGATTTTCATGACTTAGAATGACTGTAAATAATAATAATATTTTTTTTTTTTTACTATACTGTACATCATTCTTTCTTGATAAAAAATAAATTAAGTGCAGTTGGTAGCAGTAAGGTAGGTTTGGTCTGCCCCTCAGTCACCATTTCCAACCTCACACACATAGCCAACATCAGCGATTATTATGAAAATCAAAACATCAGATTGATTAATACTGTTTCCTGAATAAAATAAAATAATGATGTGAAATATTGTGAATATCAATCAGTATTTAATGTATACAGCTGTAATGTATGTATTACAGGCATGTAATTGTTGAAAAGAAAGAAGAAATGTTTGTACAGTGTCAGTATAGTGCTGAACAACCTTACCCAAAATCCACTTCTAAAATGTACATATGCGATGGTGATGAATTAAGTACGAGTATCATCTGGTGTAGCCGACATTGAAGTAACACGAGGTGAGAAAGTCGAGTTAACAATATACAACACAGTGGTCTTTTACTACCGTCAATAACATAACCTTGATCACCAACATCAATAACACTGGTCAACATAAAAAAGAAAATTCTCATGGTTCTGGATCAAAACAGTCTGATTCTAGTGTAATTGTATGTGCTGAACTCAATTATGACATTCGTATAGCTGTATCAGGCTCAGTTTTCCAGAACCAGCATATCTATATATTTAGTGTACCATGCTATTCATACAGTAATTTATATGATCATTGGCTCCACTTATGCAATTATTTTGTCCTGATTTGTGCTTTTTTGTTTGTTTCAGTTTGCTGATTCATGATATTGCATATCTACACCTGCATGATTTGTAATTACTGTACTCTGAAATTAACAAAACATGGAACGTCGCAAGTGTGTGAACGGTGCTGACAGTTTTTGCTACATATGTGGTGCCTTCACTCCTGGTAGCCTCAAGAAACCAATCACAAAAGCTGTTCGACTGAACTACAAAAGTTACTTCAAATGTCATTTGGGTGACCAAGACAAGAAATGGGCACCTCATTCAGCCTGTAAGTCTTGTGTTCACCACCTGAGCAAGTGGATGTGTGGTAAATGAAGTTCAGGAATGCCATTTGCTGTACCAATGATATGGCGTGAACTTAGAAGACCACAGTAGTGACTGCTACTTCTGTCTCACAAATATTAAGGGAATAAAAATCAAGACATGAGGTAAGGTACAGTACCCCAATATTGCTTCTGCAATCCGACCAGTGCCGCACAGTGCTGAACTTCCAGTCCCAAATCCACCGACTGAACAAGAATTGAGTGATTCCGATTCTACCTCTACCTCAATGGAAAACGACTACCAGGATGACTCTGAAAATACCAGGCTTAAACTATTTACTCAAGAAGCGCTTCATGATCTCATCAGGGACCTAAACTTGTCAAAAGAAAAGGCTGAAGTTTTGGGATCCAGACTAAAGCAGCGTAACCTGCTAGAAGATGGAGTGCATATCACTACAGCGCGTTACCGACATAGACAGCTGTCTGCATTTTTCAAGATGGCAAACAACCTTTGTTATTGCGAGGACGCAGTATCTCTCATGCAACAACTCTGCAAGTCTGAAACATACAAGACAGAGGATTGGAGGCTGTTTATAGACTCAGGAAAAGACTCTCTGAAAGCTGTTCTTTTACACAATGGCAATCTGCTTCCATCTGTCCCAATAGCACACGCAACAAAAATGACTGAGAGCTATGAAACAATGAAAATTCTGTTGGCCGCTATAGAGTATGAGAAACACCAGTGGAAGATATGTGGCGATCTCAAAGTCATCAGTTTACTACTGGGCCTTCAGAGTGGCTACACAAAGCACATGTGCTTTTTGTGCTTGTGGAACAGCAGAGCTGATGCAGAGCACTATGTGAGAAAGGATTGGCCGACAAGACCAAGAGATGCGCCTGGAAGGTTTAACTGTGATCACAATCCGCTTGTAGATCCAGAAAAGATATTTTTGCCTCCACTGCATCTAAAGCTCGGTTTGGCTAAAAATTTCATCAAAGCTATGGATCAATTTGGTGCTGGGACTCTATACTTATCTCAGAAACTAGGTGGTGTGGTTTCCGAAGCCAAGTTGAAAGCAGGTGTCTTGAATGGACCACAAATTCGTATACTAGTTAATGATAGCGAATTCACCAAAACATTGAACCCACTGGAGAAAAAAGCATGGGAATCATTTGTCAATGTGTCAAAGAATTTTCTTGGAAACTATCGTGCTGACAACTACAAAGAAATCGTAACAACCATGCTTCAGAATTATCATGCACTGGGAGCAAGGATGTCCTTGAAATTGCATTTATTCCACTCTCATATTGAATTTTTCCCAGGTAACCTTGGAGACGTTAGTGATGAACACGCGAAAGATTTCATCAAGATATCGCCATAATGGAGAGCAGATATCAGGGACAATTCAGTCTTAACATGATGGGCGACTATTGCTGGACACTGCAACGAGAAGAGAGCAAGCTGTACAAGAGAAAGAGTAAAGTTCAGAAGCACTTTTAGAACTTCATATTTTGTCATTATAAAGGATTTGAACTTATGTTTTTTGGTACAATTTTTTATGAGCTTATCTGTGATAGGTTTAAAATTGTATCTTGCATGACGCGATAATGTTACTATATTTACTATTTTTTTTATTCTTTAAGAAAGTAGGTCTGATGGTAGAATGAAACATCCAATTAATATTCATTAATATGAAATTAGTCATGAAAGCACAGTCACATGAGATAATCTCATCTTTTGCACGACACGTGATGGAATATTAAATATTTGTACCTATTGATTTTTTTATAAAACCTGGTCTGATAGAACAAAACAAATATCAGATTCGAATTCAGCAATATGAAATTAGTTGTGTGAGCATGATCTCATATGTGAACCATTTTGGCTGTTGACCGGTGTAATAGTCCATCCTTCAACACATCTCGGAGGGTTACAGAAAACGTCAAGGTTCTTAATATTTCACAGGGGGGACTGAGCTTTTACTCGGCTGGTACTCGGTAAAATCGTTATACAAGTTCACATTGGTACAATATTAACCTAGAGACAGTGAAGGTACACAAACATCTCTCACTGTTGTGTCCTTGGTTCATGTCCTGGCCCGAGACACACTGGAGAAGGGTAATACATGTTATCCAGTGTGACTCCCCCTAAGATGGCAGGTTTTACTGTACTCCAGGCACTAACACACCTGTACCTGTATCTTGTGCCCAGTATTTGCCAACAGTGTGTAAAAGAGAAGTGACCAACCGCCCAAGCGGCTAACGAGCCGATCAGTGGCAAAGAGGATAAAAGCACAAAAAGTAAGGTCTGGAAGATGGATAGCAACAAGAAGGAGTACCTGGAATACAAACACAGGCAAATAAAAAATATACAAGGCTAAAAAGTGGGAATGGGATGCATTCACAGATACTACTGTATACAGACTAGTGATGCAAAAAGCGAGGTACAGTATTAAGAAAGCTTAATTATTATGGATCGGGTGACCACTTGCAAGAGGTGGCAGCCTTTGGTCTGCACTATTGTACATTGCTGCTAAAAAGTTACCTGCCTACCAATAAGGTGTAAAAAATGATGACGGTGAACAAGACACATCAAACAAAACACACTTTTGACATATATGGCAGGCTGGCAGCAGCCCTCTCCTGCCCTGGCCGAGACACATACTTATGTCAAATAAGGATGCCAAACTCCCAACCAGCTCAAATAAAATACACAAAAGTACAACACAAAGACAAAAAACAAGGCACACTACTTGTTCTGTACTGGCTTAACACATACACTAACAGAAATTCAACCCAAATCTAAGAAAACCTAAGTTAATAAACATGCCTTTCATTGTTGCAATACACCATATTGATACCGTACTTGGGTATACCTATAAAATTTAGCATCTGCCTCAAACAAATGAAAATATATAATGATAACACCTGTATGACAAACTACCACACTAAAATGTATACATTCATATTGGCAGTGGCGGCTCGTGAAAAATAAAATGGAGGGACTGCAAGCCTCACACAACAGTAGGATACACAAATTTGACCTACCTCAGGTATGAGTTGTAGTTGATGTCCACGAATTCCCAGGGCATGGTAGTAGTGTTGGTGGTAGAAGGGATGGCCGAGGTGGTGATGGACCAGTATTAATTGAAAATAAAGTCGGCGTGTCTGCATTCGATGTAGCAAAATTGTTTATTACTATTTCATTAAAATCCTTTATTTCTGTTATCATTTTATTTTCAATGGATATCACTGCTAAAGCAGACAGTCTGTCATTCTGATAAACACTGATGTTAAACTGGCGTGTATATTCTTTGTTCCTGCTTGTACTGTTCTGTTGAATGGATAAAACTGGTGTAGGTCTTCCTCTTGCTTTGATTTCAGTCTTTTCATTTAATGTCAGCTGGGAAAAGTTGATGTTTTGCAAATACTTCACTCGATTTTCCATCGTCAAAGGGTAATTAAAGAAAGCACGATTTAACCACACCGTCCACACGTTGTACGAGACTGAGCTGCTTCAAGTGCAGCTCATTGTGCGGCGGCGCCAATTAATAACAGACATGAATCGTACAGCATTGACAGCAACTATGAAAGTAACTTAAATTTTGGTCTGATTTTAATGAAAATTCACTTAGCAACGTATTGAAAATAATTAAATAACATATAAAATTATATATATGTTGGTAGTGTATTATTCAGCTGTCTCTCTAAAGGAATCATACGCCTGGCAGTGAGTGTCTGGGGGGACTGCAGCTCTGCAGCCCTATGCACGAGCCGCCACTGCATATTGGTATCAAAAGTACCACTAAAATACTGAGACCTTATTTAGTCAAGGTTGTCTTTAAACGGTCCGACTAATTACCCAAATGTAGCCGCAATGAAGTCAAATAAT